CTGGCAGTCCTACCACCCAGCGGCCTGGCCAGCCCCGAGTCGCGTGGGGGCGGAGTCGCTCGCGGCCACCACTTCCTGAGAGCCGGGGATACCCCTCCCGGACGTCACGGAGGAGCCGAGGCGGCGGTGGCGGCCCGGGGCTCATCCTGCACTTGCATCACGGGTGCAGCAGCAGCTGCTCTGCTGCTTTGTGGCTTTTTCCCCTGTTGAGTAACTGCTTTGTTAACTGAAAATACCATGACGGGCCAGTGTGATCACCAGTTCCAGACCTCAAAGAAAGTGAAGCTGTCAGGCAAGAAGAGGGAGACTCCCTTAGCCGGCTGCGATGGTATCTGGTGGGTGGGTGTGTAGAGAAGCACTTGACAGTTTCCACGTATTACTTCTTGCCTAACTCTTCACCCCCAAGAAGGTTTAAAAATACTTTTATTTCCATGCTGTAAAAATTTCATGTGTTCTGCACCCCACCTATTCCTTGTTCAATTTGAAATCTCATGCAGAATTGGAATCACATTAAAGTAGGAGCCCTAAAATTAGGTACAATTTTTAGGAAACAGGACATCTTTCAATGAATTTATTTAATGTTACGTTTTCTAAATGTTAGTATGTATGAAAGGTCCTTGCCCACTCAAGGTAGTTATAAAACTACTAACCAAATTTGTTCTTATGCATTGTGCTCTCTCAGTGACAGTTTTAAAAAGCTGTATCTTTATTTACCTTGAATTAAAAAAAAAACCTCCATTTCTTGCTGAATATCTTCAGATAAAGCATTTCTCTCTGCGTAGGTGTATCTTTCTGGTCGTCTATGTTGGTTATTTCTGTGCTTCCCTCCCCTCATTCCTTCCTTACATCTTTCCCTTCCTGAATATCCGTCACCAATCTTTGTTCCTTGATGGCTATTAGGCTGAGTGCTGTTGTCTGATTGCCCTGAACCAGTCAGCTGGCTTGGTGCTCCTCTGGGTAGGAGGCTGGACTGACTGTTGGAGAGGTTCCAGTGGTCCCTGATAAGTGGCAACATTTTTGCACTCAAATGGAAAACTCATGGAAGCAGAGACAAGGCACTCTCACAACCTGGGACACCATCCTCTGCTTAATCCTAGGTTCCTAAACCTGTAATTCTTTAGGTGACCTCACACGGAATGGATCCTTCTCTTTTCTTTTTCAAATTAATATCTATTGTTCTATACCTTTTCAAAAGTCTGATTTACTAGAAATCAGGCATAATATTCTGTAAGGGTCAGTAATCTAAATTACCTTTTTGATGATTAGTTTTTATTAAATTAAATACTTTATAATTAACTAACTTTTAGGAAATCAAGTTGAATAAGACTACCTTAATCTATGAAATGCTGAAAATTTACCTGGTGTGGTCCTTTTTCTAGAAGAGGGACATTCATGTTTATTTCCCAGTTTATACAAACACAGCGAAGAAAGCAGTTGCTTTTTTAATACTTAGGGCAGCCAATCTGTTAAAACTTCCTATGAAGTAATTGTTATAGCTTCACTGGATAATTAACTTTTATTTTGGTTTGGTTTTGTAGGTAAAGTCTGTCTACAAAAAAAAAAATGCTCTTTCTCTTGGAAAATAAAATTTGAAAGTTTGGGGAAATTTATTTTGTGTGATACAAAACAATTGCTTTAACAAATTGGGACTTAAAACAGTTGCTTTAAATGCTCTTCTGATGGAGCTATTATGTACAGAATGATGATGAGACTGACTAATATAAAGATTGGGTAAGGAAAGGTAAATAAAAATTCCAAGCCAGAAGTTATTAATTAAGGTGAATATAGGAAGGAAAATGAAAAAAATTAAGAGTATGTCCAAGTTTTCTAGAATCAGTGAAATTCTGTACTGTATTTAAGACATATATATAAAATTTAGTAACTTGAGCTGTTGTTAACATACACTTAAGTGTGCTGGGCTCAGCATCGTGGGGCTATTGTAGTTTTCTATCTGACTTACCTGCATGCTCTCCCTTATCAATTTTATCATTACCAGATTAGATTGATCTTCCTAAAATACAGCTTTTACTATGATGCTCTTGGGTTCAAAAATCTTCAGCGCTGGACGTTGTCTCTGCAGTAAAGCCCCAGATCTTCCACATCCTGGCCTCTTTAATTTCTACAGGGTTTCCCAGTCCTATTCAAACTTGTATCCTTACTGTTCTTCAAACATCCTTTCACCCTCCCACAATTGTTCATAGTTTTCCTTTTTTATGGCATTCCCTTCTTCCCCTTCTCTGCTTATTGAAATCTTACCCTTATCTCTAAAACTAGCTCAAGAAGTGAACTCAGATTGTGCTCTAATTTTCACGAAGTTCTTAACTGCCTTCTTTTTGTGCTCTCATGGCCATTGTTTATTCTCCCATCAAACTGTAAGCTTCAGAAGTATACCTCGCACATCTCTGAGATTTCTGTGGTACCTAAATTTATCATGGATAGTAAATACCCACAAAATATTCTCCCATTTATATTTGAATGTGACTTGAGAATGGCCATGGTATAAGTAACAACTTGTATGAATTAGGATATCTTTGGCATGAATAGATGTATGTGAGATCATATGTTTTCTTTATCTGAACTTTTGATACTCCTGATTGAACATACCTTGTCACGGGGCCTGCTACAAGCCCAGACAGTGGCATGGTGATACAAGGAAATTGCATTTTGGTTTGTACATGTTATATCTTCGTAGGAAGATTTGCTATGATTATTTTTTCCTGACAGACATTTGGTCTGACACTTGTTCTACAGTATTTTCCCCTCTATTTGTACTTTCTCTTAGGCTGCTTCCTCTTAGTGATGAACTGGATGCTATAGGCTAGGAAATGTTAATAACAGCTTCTTTT